CTTTTGGGCCAGCTGGGCGGCAGTGGACGAAAATGTCACCCAATCGCCCACAGAATCGGGCCAAGCAGCTTATCAAAATGGAAACAAAATGCGTACAGATATTGGAAATTGCCTAGGAGGGTTGCGGGGGGAAAGCGACTTGCTTGTTGCCCAAACGAATTAAAAAGTTTGTAAATGGGCCAACGACGCAGTGGGACAAAAAGACACATGACTCTTCGGATGACACACAAAATGTAATTTGATAGGCCCAAAGCCAAGAGCTGGTAACAATTTTGTGCATTGCTCTTTAATGCAACTGCAACGAAGCCGAAAGCCATCAATATAATGAACTAAACAGTTTGCTAAGGGACTTGCAACTTACAAGAGCTGTTGCTGAAGTTGATCTAAATATTTAAATATGAAATAGATAACAAAAAGGGTTCCTAAGAAGTTTACATAATTTTTATTTTTCGCTAAATAAAAGTTAAAGATATAAATGGAATTTTAAGTACTATTAAAATGAAGAGAGGTAAATTATTCAAGGAAATCTTTTGTGATGGTCTACTTCACACGCTATGCTAAAATTATCTTGATTAACCTATTATCCTAAGCATGTGACGCATACATGGAAAAAACTCGGATTGCTAGAAAAAGAAGGAAAGGAAGAAGGAAAGTAGCTTGACGACATCTTTAAAGCTGAGTAACAGGCTGTTGAAGCTGATCAAAGTAAATATATTTACTTGGGTAGAAGATAATACTCTCTGAAAAGTATTGTGAGCCAGAAGTCTTCATTATCTGCGCCATATCTAGACTCTCCTGCTGGATTATAGAGGACGTACTCTCTACTGTACTGTGCTACCTATAGTCCCCAGTCTTATCATGGGCAGTGCGCAGTCAACATGATTTAGATGCGACATTGTGTGCCTGAAAGCTTTGTCAGCTGTAACACCAGCTACACAGACACAGCAGCAACAATGTCAACATTTGTACTTGCAGTGCGTAGAAAATAAAACGGCAGCGTTGAAAAAAACAAAAAGGAAACTCCGCGGAAAAAAAAATAAACAAAAACAGGAGTTCTAAAGTCAAGAGTGTCAGACTAAAGGATACCCTGCACAAAGCACCGAGATGCTGTCACAAACATTAAAACTTCCTTTTAGTGGCTGTCCCACTCGGTATTTATGATCCGATCTGATTGAATTTAAATGTGTGCATATGTATAAGATGAGCTGCGTTGCAATATTTCAACTCCTACCTCTCATAGCTTCGAAATTAAAACGCTTATAGATACGCAAAGACTGACAGAGGAAGAAAATCTAGTCGAAAAAGCCTCCATTTGTCTGTTACATACGTTTGCACGCAGCCAATATACCCTTTACTTTCATTTTGATTGGTTACAGGCTGCAAAAACAACAAATGAAAAAAATGGGGGGAAACAGGCAAGTGGCTAACTGGCTGGAAAGTAAAAAATTTCATGCATGACTGAAATACAAGAAGAGGCATTGTGTGCCATTCAGGGGCTGTGTGCTTGTTATTCTATCTGGTGCATAGTTTTAGGCACCAGCGCCATGACCAAACGTGGTCTATGCATAACCAGGGGCAGGAGAGAACCAGCAGCATGTGTTGCCATTCCTGGACACTATGCCCCACCTTCAGTCTGTATGTTTTGCTTGATGCGCGCTTTTCCTCTCGTTTTTCGCGCTGTGGGAAAATTGAGTTCTCAGCGCAAAGTAATTGAGTTCTGAATGATAGAAACAACCTGCAATGAATTTCAAAGCAATCACACTACGTAGCTTAAAGCTGTTAACAGCCATAATACAATTAGCTAATTTGTAGCAATTCGGTACAATTGTCCAATTAGGCTTCCAGGATTAATGTTCATTAAATAATAAATTACAATTACCTGTTAATGTGTGCAACATTAAAATTTGTTTATATCGTTTTGATAAGCGCCGGACACATGAACAATATAAATATGTCTGCTTTAAATGCGTGCAGTTAAAATTGTTTCATTAATAATTTATTATAATTAAAAAGTTAACTTTTAAAGTTCATTTCACAGCAGTTTTTATATAGAGATGAGTAAATAAAAACTTCGAGTGGAAGTCGAGTCCAACATATTAAACAAGTAAGAAGTTCTAGTCGGGAGCTCCCGGCTAGGAGATACCCTGAACCCTCTTCTTCCAACATCAAATTCATATATATTCTATTTTAGAAGCTATATGTAAAGTTTGGTGACTCTAGCTCTTATTATTTACCAAAATTGCCCAAAAACATGATATCGATATCGATTTTTATCGATTGCTTGGAAACGTAGCAAGTTATCAATTATCAGGTTCAGGGTATAAAAACAAATATATACCCTAAGAATGTTTTTTACACATAGCTAATGGTTCTAGTAGTTATATCATGCCAATCATCAACACATCCATCAAGTTTCAAATATTTTTCTCATTTTCCTCTTAATGTGTCCATTGATAATAACCTATTCCCAACTCTGTACCGATGTACAAATGTGCCAATTTGATGAGCATAAATAAACTTAAAAACTGTCTACAGAAGTAAAATACGGCAAAGATAGAAATGCAGCCGAGATGCCAAGATTATAACCAGGATTGTGTGTGCTTGCCCAGTTGGCCCGTTGGGTCATGAACGTTTTATAATTTCGCAAACAATTTTAAACCAAACTGAAAGCAATTTAATCTGTGGCTAGCTGGCAACTGTTTTGCTGCTGATGTTGTTAGTGTCGGTGGCTCACTGGTGTCACGAAATCTTGATGCACAGATTGAGTTGGGCTGCGTTGATTTTCGACGGACACAAACAGAGATAGAGATAGAGATAGAGATAGTTGGAATAGGTAAGTTTGGCCCGGTTGACTGTTTCAATTTATTTTTCATTCTTCTGTGTGCTTTGACGTTTTTGTTTTAGTTTTCTATTTTGCTGTGAAACACCCTCGGCTCGCGTACAAAATGCCAAAAGTTAAAACAAATATACACACACACAGTGCCAGGGCATGCGTCAGGAAGCACTTGCAACAGTATGCCAACAATATTTTTGCCTTCTGTGTGCTTTCTGCTATTAAAAAGGAAATAAATGAATGGCAAGCAAAAAAGTTAAATCACCTCGAGCGCGGTCGCGCCTATTTGAGCTTGGCAGCATTGTGTATTGCGCACTCCCACCTCACCACGCGGCGTATACGCAATATTCGCGTTTAATGCTACCAAAGCCAGTTGCTGAGCTGTGTTCTTTTGTTAGATTCAAAACTCGTCACAATTTCAATTTGTGTATTTCTGCTGTTTGGTTTTCTTCTTCGTTTTTCCATTTGCCATCTAAATGGGATTCACGATAGCCACTAAAATATCAGCGCTTTAAGGATTCTGAAAAGTGCATTTAAAATTATATTTATCTTCGATGATTCGGATGCCCATTCGATTGCCATCCAAGGGGTTGTGCCACATATTATCAGCATCCCTGCCTATAACTTCCAAACTTCCTCTGAATGACTTATCCATATAAAATGTATGATATTTTTGCCATTTTTAACGGACAACCTTTGCAACCGGAAAGCACCAGAATATTGATGCATTTTCATAAAAAAGCTTTCGTCAGAACATAATTTTATATTGCTGTACTTCCTGCAGTTTGTGGCATAACAGCATGCAATTCATTGGTAAAACCCAAACAAATTAAAACTGCTGAGGACCCGAAGGAGCATGGCGGAGGAGGAGCACCAAGAGGGCGGAGCAGGAGGCGTAGGTATGTATGTGTGTATGTATGTGTGTATGTATGTGTGTATGTATGGTTGTATGTATGTGTGTATGTATGTATGTATGTATGTATGTATGTATGTATGTATGTATGTATGTATGTATGTATGTATGTATGTATGTATGTATGTATGTATGTATGTATGTATGTATGTATGTATTCAACAAAAAGTTCAGTCCTTGTCTTACTAGAAATTACTTTGAATTGGGCGTCCAGCCGGTGAAAGCACAATATCACTCACAACGCTTACTGCGCACTTTAAGCAGCCCCTCCCTCCCTCTTTCCATAGCCTCACGTTATGGTAAATTCGTTTTTAAAAAACATATGGGTATATTGTCTAATCTTTCTAACATTAGTTCGTCTCGGCTACTATAGCTGACTATTCATTTATGTATATTTTATGTAGAAAACAATATTTTTTACCCAATGTGCAGGGTACACAAATGTCTATACGTAAACATTTCATTCGCTTTAATGTTCAGTTGTAAATTGTTATAACGAAGCAGAGCGAAATGAAACAAAACAAATGAAACCAAAGCAACTGTTTATTTGCGTATTGGGAAGGGGCAATTAATGAATTTCATTTGTTACAGCGCACAGTGCGGCGTTGATTGCTTCACTTTTTGTGTGAGAATTGAGTGGAAAATATGAATATAAAATTGTGAAAATATTTATTGCAAGCAGTTGCGGGAATCAATAACAGAAACAACAAGTAAAAGTGCTCTAGTCGAGAGTCTCCGACTTGGGGATACCCTGAAGCTTCTTCGCACATTAAAAAAATAATAATAAAAGCAAAACCACTTCACACGCTGGTGCTTAATATTGCAGCACATATGCGAAGACGCACTTAATATAAACCCAAAAACAATTCAATTTCTATTATTCATTCCCAAGCGCACAAGCGCTTTCCTATATAGTTTCTGTGTTTCGAAACCGATCTTGGCGATTTGACTTTTGCTTGAAAACTGCGTACGTTATCCGTTATCGAAAATAAACTCTTACTGTGCGAGCACTAGGAGAACCTACTTTCCAAATTGTTGTCCTTATTGGTTCAGAGATAAGCGCGTTCATACATACGGACAGAGAGACGGACATGGCAGTGTTGACTGGGTTATTGATGCTGACCACTATTATATATACTTTATGGGGTCTGCAGATGGAATCTGCCTGTTGCATACTCTTGCACAAAACCATTATACCCTTTTTAGCATTTTCAATGGGTTCAGGGTATAAAAATGAGGTGGCTTCATCTGAGATTAATTAATCTTTACTCGCGCTACCACCGCGAATAGCGAATAGGCCATTTTTAACGTGGAAAAAAACGTATTCAAATTAAGTTCAATTAGTCCACCTGCCATCATAGGCTGCTTTGCCAGCCTTAACGTCATTTGGATAAAGATGAGTACGTTGCGTCGATGCTGATGCGATTGTTCGTACCAGTTGCTTGAAAATATGGCATATGGCAATCGCTGCGCCTCCTCAGCGACAACGCTGGCAAAGTAGCAGCTGGGAAAAAGTTGTAAGCAGATGACGGCAAAAAACACCGCATTGTACATTAGCAAGGCTGTGTCCCGCACAAAGAAAATCACATAGAATACGACAATGCATAGATTCGCACCACAGAAGACCACTTGTATTAGCTGTACGGGGCTGATGGTCTCTTTAGTTAGCTGATATATTCTGAAAATAAAAGGTTTTTGGGTGATTTTAAAAACAGTAGAATGTATTTGGGTTATATCAATATATATAATTTTTTGATCAGTATTAACCACTGACCACCGCTGATTGGCCGAAAATCAATTTGTTGTATAAAAAACTTCATTGTTTTTCAAGATATTTTGATCAAACTTGGCATCAAATTTAGCAATGATGACAAGGCTTCTCACACGTCTGAAAGTCTACATGAGTATTTAATCATAGGAGTGTTTAAGATAGCCATTTTCTTATTATTTCTGTTATTTTTTTTTTTTTTTTTTATTTATATTTTTCATTATTTTTAAATGTAAATATAATACACATATATTAGTTGCTAGATCTCACCGTATCAGTAGCCTGTAGTCCTCGAAACAGGAACGTAATTGCTGATAAGTCGTAATTTCGGGCATCTGGTGAAATCCCAGATGCGACATACGTATGGCAAAGAGATGTATATGACCGCTCACATAGCACAATGTCAGGGGCGTAAAAATATCATTTGTCAAGCCCTGCATGCATTCGGCCAGAACGCAAAGAAACTGGTAGCCAAACGCTAAGCCATAGGAGAGGCCATTGCGCCGCCAGTTGAAGGGCAGCCAAGACACGTAAAGTAGCTCACGAGGCTCAGCCGATAGTGCAAGAATTACGCCAGGCACGAAGAGCACGTAGATAATGGCATAGCTTATATAAATACAGCGGGTTATACGGTGCACTTGGCTATGCAGCGTATTTTGGTAGTAGTGATGCTCCTCGCCATTCTGGACACAATCATCCAGTTGGAGAAGCAGTGCTTTAATCTCCATCATGTTTGGCAGGTGACATATTTGCATGATATGCTTCAAGCTGCACCCTACACAGATGATGGTCATTGATAGATTCTTGAAGAGCTCAGCTGGCGTGGCCGGCAGCAGCAGGCCCAGTAACAAATGCATTGGAAACATGAATGTAATTAGCAAATGTATCAACACAAAATAGACGTAAGCCGTACGAGATCTGGCACCGAAGAGTGTCGGTGCCAGCACTCGAAAGCAAAACCATATTGGACGATAGGCGCGTGTACTGTCGATGAGCATTATGCGACACGTTTGGCTGGATGCATGCGTGCGGCGCAGCTTTTATAAACTTACCACTAAGCGACATTTAAATGCTTTCAATGCACATTTTTTAAATACCCCTAATGGCTGTCATTAAGCGCTAGTTTATGCCAAGCCAATATGCACACCCGACCTTCAAATGTGACACCTCTTCGTCTCGCCAAAAGGCCATATAAGCGATGGCATAGAATGCATTCGGATTGTTGTCCATAATATATTTTACTTCGATTATATTTTGTGGGTTTTAAAATCAAATATCATGTGGTTAGTTTAACATGTTGCTAGTGTTCCTCGGCATATGTTCTGGGTTCTAAGTGCATCGAACATGATTGGGGGTTGAGACTTTTCCCGGCTCTTCCACTCTTGTTGCCAGACCTTAATTATTGCTAATCATGGCCGAGGCAGGAGCGAAAGGTTCACGTTCGAGCATATCACTTCCTTGCTTACCGATGACATTTCCAATACTATTGAGTCCTTGATTTGAACAATTCAATAAACCTAGAATATCTCTCTTTAAAAATAATTTGTTCACAAAATAATAATAATCACAACAACACCAACATCAAACATTTATAAAAACGTATAATGAATAGAAAACTATAATGAATATCGATTTGAGAACATTTATTTTTCTTTTATTATTTTTCATATTATATGATAACAGCTGCAAATAGGAGTCCGTGGTGAAAAATCATTAAAGCTCTAAAGAGTGAAAAGTCTTTAAAGTCCAATGTCAAGTCTTAATACAATAATTTTGACCGCAGCTTTATGTATATATATTTTTATTTATTAAAAGAAGTTATTTTGATTTTTAAAATTACCGACTAAAGTATAACTTAAATAGTGCTTACTGTATCATACATTCCTTCCTTTCTTCTGCAATGGGAACCATCGCCAATTCCTATTCAAAGCTCATTAAGTAGTCGACAGCTGTCCGCACCATCAGTTCAAGTTCAGTACACTGAATAATACATAGACTTATCCTCATTATGGCTGTCATACAATGTGAGCTGTCGTCCATTTCATATGAGTTCAAAAGTGTTGACCATTAAATGTTTTTTCATCATTTAAAATTGCCTTGGCTATTTGAAATTTCCAATTATTACCAATCCAGCGTTGAACGTCGCACAGCACTTTGCCCTCTTGGTTTTGTATTCTCATCGTTGATCGTCGTTTTTATACCCTGAACCCATTAAAAAAGTATATTGTATTTGTGCGAAAGCCTAATGTATGTAACACGCAGAAGGAAGCAACTCCGACCCCAAGTATATACATTCTTGATCAGCATAAATAGCTGAGTCGATCTAGCCATGTCCGTCTGTCAGTCCGTCCGTATGTATGAGCCAAAGGATCTCAGAACCTATAAGAGCTGAAATTTTAGATGTAGATGCTTCTAGTTCCCGCGCAGATCGAGTTTGTTTCCGGTAATCGATAACTTACTCCGTTTCCAAGCAATCGATAAAAATCTATATCGATATCTATATCGATATCCAAACTTGACATATGGCTTCTAAAATAGAATATATATATGATATAGGATTTTACTTCATGGTTTTCCCTCTAGATTAATCTGGCATTCAAATCTGAACACCGATTATTTAGTCGAAATGCATGTCTAAATCTTACCCCCAGATTCGTATATAGACATGGGTCAAAATTTACCACCCCCATAACTAAGTCAAATCTCATCCGATTTTCACGAAGTTTGGCTTTTTGTTCATGATTTTCCCTCTAGATTAATCTGGCATTCAAACCTCGACACCGATTTTTTAGTCGAAATTCATGTCCATATCTTACCCCAAGATTCGTACATAGACATGGGTAAAAATTTACCACCCCCATATCTCAGCCAAATCTCATCCGATTTTCACGAAGTTTGGCTTTTTCTTTATGCTTTTCCCTCTAGATTAATGTGGCATACAAATCTCGATACCGATTTTTTGGTCGAATTTCATGTCCAAATCTTACCCCAAGATTCGTATATAGACATGGGTCAAAATTTACCACCCCCATATCTCGGCTAAATCTCATCCGATTTTCACGAAGTTTGGCTTTTTCTTTATGCTTTTCCCTCTAGATGAATGTGGCATACAAATCTCGATACCGATTTTTTGGTCGAATTTCATGTCCAAATCTTACCCCAAGATTCGTATATAGACATGGGTCAAAATTTACCACCCCCATATCTCGGCTAAATCTCATCCGATTTTCACGAAGTTTGGCTTTTTCTTTATGCTTTTCCCTCTAGATTAATGTGGCATTCAAATCTCGATACCGATTTTTTGGTCGAATTTCATGTCCAAATCTTACCCCAAGATTCGTATACAGACATGGGTCAAAATTTACCACCCCCATATCTCAGCCAAATCTCATCCGATTTTCACGAAGTTTGGCGTTTTCTTCATGTTTTTCCCTCTAGATTCATCTGGCATTCAAACCTCGACACCGATTTTTTAGTCGAAATTCATGTCCAAATCTTACCCCAAGATTCGTATATAGACATGGGTCAAAATTTACCACCCCCATATCTCGGCTAAATCTTATCCGATTTTCACGAAGTTTGGCTTTTTCTTTATGCTTTTCCCTCTAGATTAATGTGGCATTCAAATCTCGATACCGATTTTTTTGTCGAATTTCATGTCCAAATCTTACCCCAAGATTCGTATATAGACATGGGTCAAAATTTACCACCCCCATAACTCGGTCAAATCTCATTCGATTTTCATGAAGTTTGTTTTTTTCTTCATGGTTTTCCCTCTAAATTAATCTGGCATTCAAATCTGAACACCGATTTTTTAGTCGAAATTCATGTCCAAATCTTACCCCAAGATTCGTACATAGACATGGGTCAAAATTTACCACCCCCATATCTCGGTCAAATCTCATCCGATTTTCATGAAGTTTGGCTTTTTCTTCATGGTTTTCCCTCTAGATTAATCTGGCGTTCAAACCTCGATACCGATTTTCTAGTCGAAATTCATGTCCAAATCTTACCCCAAGATTCGTATATAGACATGGGTCAAAATATACCACCCCCATAACTCGGTCAAATCTCATCCGATTTCCACGAAGTTTGGATTTTTCTTCATAGGTTTCCCTCTAGATTAATCTGGCATTCAAATCTGAACACCGATTTTTTAGTCGAAATTCATGTCCAAATCTTACCCCAAGATTCGTACATAGACATGGGTCAAAATTTACCACCCCCATAACTCGGTCAAATCTCATTCGATTTTCATGAAGTTTGTTTTTTTCTTCATGGTTTTCCCTCTAGAGTAATCTGGCATTCAAATCTGAGCACCGATTTTTTAGTCGAAATTCATGTTCAAATCTTACCCCAGGATTCGTATATAGACATGGGTCAAAATTTACCACCCCCATAACTCGGTCAAATCTCATCCGATTTTCACGAAGTTTGGCGTTTTCTTCATGGTTTTCCCTCTAGATTAATCTGGCATTTAAACCTCGACACCGATTTTTTAGTCGAAATTCAAGTCCAAATCTTACCCCAAGATTCGTATATAGACATGGGTCAAAATTTACCACCCCCATATCTCGGCTAAATCTCATCCGATTTTCACGAAGTTTGGCTTTTTCTTTATGCTTTTCCCTCTAGATTAATCTGGCGTTCAAACCTCGATACCGATTTTCTAGTCGAAATTCATGTCCAAATCTTACCCCAAGATTCGTATATAGACATGGGTCAAAATTTACCACCCCCATAACTCGGTCAAATCTCATCCGATTTTCACGAAGTTTGGCGTTTTCTTCATGGTTTTCCCTCTAGATTAATCTGGCATTCAAACCTCGACACCGATTTTTTAGTCGAAATTCATGTCCAAATCTTACCCCAAGATTCGTATATAGACATGGGTCAAAATTTACCACCCCCGTATCTCGGCTAAATCTCATCCGATTTTCACGAAGTTTGGCTTTTTCTTTATGCTTTTCCCTCTAGATTAATCTGGCGTTCAAACCTCGATACCGATTTTCTAGTCGAAATTCATGTCCAAATCTTACCCCAAGATTCGTATATAGACATGGGTCAAAATATACCACCCCCATAGCTCGGTCAAATCTCATCCGATTTCCACGAAGTTTGGATTTTTCTTCATAGGTTTCCCTCTAGATTAATCTGGCATTCAAATCTGAACACCGATTTTTTAGTCGAAATTCATGTCCAAATCTTACCCCAAGATTCGTATATAGACATGGGTCAAAATTTACCACCCCCATATCTCGGCTAAATCTCATCCGATTTTCACGAAGTTTGGCTTTTTCTTTATGCTTTTCCCTCTAGATTAATGTGGCATTCAAATCTCGATACCGATTTTTTGGTCGAATTTCATGTCCAAATCTTACCCCAAGATTCGTATATAGACATGGGTCAAAATTTACCACCCCCATAACTCGGTCAAATCTCATTCGATTTTCATGAAGTTTGTTTTTTTCTTCATGGTTTTCCCTCTAAATTAATCTGGCATTCAAATCTGAACACCGATTTTTTAGTCGAAATTCATGTCCAAATTTTACCCCAAGATTCGTATATAGACATGGGTCAAAATTTACCACCCCCATAACTCGGTCAAATCTCATTCGATTTTCATGAAGTTTGTTTTTTTTCTTCATGGTTTTCCCTCTAGATTAATCTGGCATTCAAATCTGAACACCGATTTTTTAGTCGAAATTCATGTCCAAATCTTACCCCAAGATTCGTATATAGACATGGGTCAAAATATACCACCCCCATAACTCGGTCAAATCTCATCCGATTTTCATGAAGTTTGGATTTTTCTTCCTGGTTTTCCCTCTAGATTAATCTGGCGTTCAAACCTCGATACCGATTTTCTAGTCGAAAATCTGGCATTCAAACCTCGACACCGATTTTTTAGTCGAAATTCATGTCCAAATCTTACCCCAAGATTCGTATATAGACATGGGTCAAAATTTACCACCCCCATATCTCGGCTAAATCTCAT